TCACCCACTCACACTCGCATCGCATCTCGCACCAACAACACACACACACACACACACACACACACACACACACGTTACAGGCACATATACGATCCGATCCGATACCAGCCAACCCCTTCCCCCCTCCCTTCCAATCCCCACGATACCAAGCCCCAGTTCCAATGATCCTCTCATCACCACCCCCAACTCCCCCCCCCCTCCCCCCCCCACTGGGCCACTGGCTCAATAATAATCACTTTCTCTCGTTGATCAACTTTGCCTCGCAACTTGTCTCTCGCAAACCCGCGACAGACACCCCCCTCACCCCCCTTTACAACACACAAGACTTATCAACATGCCTTACAGAGGAGGGTACGTCACCACATCCCACCACAACCATACACACACATACACACTCTATCAACTATCCCCCTCCCCTCCTCTGCTGCCCCCCCTGGGCTGATGGGATGGATTAGGATTGGATTGGATGGATGCCCGCCCCTCCCTCCCCCGCCACCCCCCCCCCCTGTCCCGCACCCAGGCCAATCATATGCCAAACTCACAGCTCAAATGTTTTCCTGACTAAAGACGTGGCGGTGGCCGTGGTGGCCGTGGTGGCCGTGGTGGTGGTGACTTTGGCGGAGTGTTCGGTGACTCGATGGGAGACCTTGGGCAGGACCTGGCGGCGGTGAATTGGAACGAGGCGGAGCTGACGCCGTTTGAGAAGGAGTTTTATAACGAGCATGATGAGGTGTCGGCCCTGACGGATGAGGAGGCTGCGGCATACCGGGAGAAGGAGTCGATCAAGCTGCTGTCCAAGGACGGCCGCCCGCTCCCGCAGGAGCTGGTCCTCAAGCCGGTCAACAAGTTCTACCAGTTTAACCTCTCGGATGGCGTCATGCGGGCCATCGATCGGGCTGGCTTTGTTGAGCCGTCGGCGGTGCAGGCGCAGGCTATGCCGTACGCGCTCTCGGGCCGCAACGTCATCGGCATTGCCGCCACCGGCTCGGGCAAGACCGTGGCCTTTGTCCTCCCGGCGCTTGTCCACATCCAGGCCCAGCCGCCGCTGCAGCGTGGCGACGGACCGATCGGCCTTGTTCTTGCGCCCACGCGCGAGCTTGCTGTGCAGATCCAGAAGGAGTGCGCCAAGTTTGCGCGCGACGTCAACGTTCGCTCGGTGTGCATCTACGGTGGCGCGCCCAAGGGCCCGCAGGCCGGTGCGCTCCGCCGCGGCGTCGAGGTCGTCATCGGCACGCCCGGACGTATCATCGACTTTGCCACGACGCACACCCTCAAGTTTAACCGGGTCACGTACCTGGTCCTTGACGAGGCTGATCGCATGCTCGACATGGGCTTTGAGCCGCAGCTGCGCTCCATCGCCTCGCAGATCCGGCCCGACCGCCAGACGCTCTTCTTCTCGGCGACGTGGCCGAAGGAGGTGCGCTCGCTCGCCGGTGAGTTTGTGGGCAACGACGCTATCCGCGTCGCCGTCTCCGTCGATCAGGTCAAGGCCAACGCCGACATCCAGCAGATCGTCGACGTCGTCTCGCGCAACGAGAAGTTTGACAAGTTTATGAAGGTCATGGAGGTGATCAAGGGCGACTCGGCCCGCATGCCGCGCGTCGTCGTCTTCTCGTCGACCAAGTCGAACTGCGACACGCTCGAGTACGAGCTCTCGGCCATCGGCTTCCGCACGGCCGCCCTTCACGGCGACAAGAACCAGCGCCAGCGCGACTGGGTCCTCCGCCAGTTCAAGTCCGGCTCCATCCCGGTCATGGTCGCCACCGACGTTGCCGCCCGTGGCCTCGACGTCTCGGACCTCCGCTACGTCGTCCAGTACGACATGGCTGGCTCTATTGAGGACTTTTGCCACAGGGTAGGCCGTACCGGCCGTGCCGGCGCCAAGGGCATCGCCTACACCTTCTTCTGCCAGTCGGATGTCAAGCTCGCCGCTGACCTCAAGTCGGTTCTCGAGCGCTCCAACCAGGACGTCCCGCCCAAGCTGGAGACCCTCGTCCAGTCGATGGGCCGTCGTGGTGGTGGTCGCGGTGGCCGCCGCGGCGGCCGCCGCGGTGGCTTCCGCGGCCGCCGCGGCGGCTGGCGCCGCTAAGCGGCTGCCGATGGCGCTACTGCTCCTGCTGCTGCTGCACGAGCTCAAAAACAAATACAAACTTAACCATGCTATGCTCTCGACACTCACACACACACTCTCACATCTGTCGCTTGTCTAGTCGGTACTCTCGTTCGACACAGTTCATTGCTTTCGCCACAAACTACATCGTCAGCTCAAAACCGTACGTCATCGCGGCCGTGGCATTCAGTACATGGAGTTGTAGCCGTACGGGCCCTGGGCCGGGGCACCGTAGCCGTACGGGGCCGGAGCCTGAGCCGGGGCGCCATATCGGAGCCGTAGGCGGCACCGGGGTAGTCGCCGACGGTGCCGTAGCCGTGCATCGGGGCGTCGTAGCCTGGATATCGGGGCACCGTAGTCGGGCATGGGGCC